ATGATTGATCTTTACTTTGCGTGTATGTGTGTGTAGCAACTCGAACAGAATTAAACTTTTCATACTCGCATAAAGTATATTGCAAACAATTCGTTAAATTGATATGTGAAAGATATTTTATCATCATATTACTTCTATTTTAAAGCATGGAGATCAGTGAGAACGCACTTCATATCCAAACTATGTGTATACTTTGCCTGCAATGCATTCCAGATTCTAATTGTATAAACCTACCGACTGGGCCGGCCTGCAAAAATAGCTCCCAGATCAACGCATCAGTCAATCGTTCATCTAAGTTACCAACATATACCGTGGCATCCTGGTTGCGGTCCATTATGGATGTAGCCATTTTTTACTAATCCCTCCTTATTTGAATATGTATAGGTAAAGGTATAGGTATGTATATACATATATATGCCTTGCATATAATATATGTATATGTATATATACAAGCGAGAGCTTGATGTCCTATAAATCAGCAGCGTATTTGAGTGAACACTAAGCTCGTATACGCAGTCGATCTATAGATATGCTACGCGCTGAAGTATGCACGTCAATGAAACTATACCATTTAGCATATCACATACATCTATCCACAATCAAATACACGCGCAAACAATATTTAAATACAGCACAACGAAACAGTATTATTTAATATGAGGGAAAAAGCCGCCTTATGGCATTTGCCGGGTTTTAGGGTCACACGCGCGTTTATTTTTGGAATTGGCTTTTTTTTTTCTACTCCAGAACGCATATGTTTCAAAAAAGTGAACGTATTTGGCATTTGGCATATTTTATATATACTTTTTTCGATGAAGCTTAAATTCGGGAATATCCAAATCGAATGCAATTTGGGTCCTTGTTCGAATTTATTGGAAGGCGGGACGTCGAGATACTCCATAGCGAGAGCCTGTTTTCTCTAGATAATTTACCACCTCTCTAGAATGTTCATTACACACACAAGGTTGACTTGCTAAAGTATCACACTCGAGTGCTTCACTAGCAGACCAAAATTGCTGCCCGTCTTCATTCATAGATCAGCTAAAGTATTATTCGGAAATGGTGAAGCGTGTGATTGATCCTGTGAAGGATAAAGCCCCTTCCCGTTCCAAAGATGAACATGTGAATAAACGTGCTAAAGGAAGTAAGTATTGGTTTGAGGAATTGTGTGTTTTGCCGTATCGCTGGATGACTTAGTTTGTATGTTTCTCTCAACATGTTATATTATATTCATATATTTCTTTTACAGATGCATATATCTATATATATATATATATATATATATATATATATATATATATATATATATATATATATATATATA